GGCCGCTTTTCATATAACGGTAAATTTCAGAAATGCTTGAAATTTCAATATTTTGAAATTTAAGGACGCTAGTTTACTTAAAATTTATACACGCCGGCTTATCATGTAGCGGTAGCTTTCGGAAAGGTGGAAAACATATATTTAATACTTGCGCCGGGTATTTAATGTTCGGCTCCGCCCGAACTTAGACTTTCTTACTTGTTATAATTGGAAAAAATTTATTTGAAAGGGAAAAATCGCAAAAAACCGCCAATGGCGATTTACTAAATTTTTACGCGCAAATATCAAAAAAAAATCGCCAAACTGGCGCGAAATCGCCAAATCTAGACACTCTGCGTTAAAACTTGGCAAAAAGTTGTTCTAACGGCTATAATTTTTTGATCATTGCACATTAGGTCAAATGATTACTTTCTCTGTGTGTGTGTCATTTTAATTTAAAATGATGCCAACCGTTAAAAAAATTGTTAAGTCAGTAAATAAAATGTGAAAACATGTCTTAGCTTTCGTAAGACAGACTTTTCCACGCAATGTTTTTTGTGTTCAAATGATGAGTATATGTGTTTAAGTAGTACTCAAAAACATTTTCCAATTAGCTTGGTTTTGACACAAGTTATTTTCTTACCATACTCAACCCCTCCCCCTTGAAATGAGCTACATAATAAAATAAGTATGTTCATATGTAAATACATAAATGATTTCATCTAGTCATTAATTATGGCATTATCGAAATTCGTGAATTAAAAAAAAATTACTACATGTCTCGCAGATATGCCTTGAGGAGAGATTCATAAGGTAGTTAGTCTTTATAAAACACTTCATTTTCACTTAAGCTTTCAGTATTCCCCAATTCTCCACCGCCGCTTCGCTGCATTATGTCCATGTCGTTGTAAAGCGCATACAGCTCATCGTTCCATCGTCTGCGGTACTCGCCGTCGCCAACGCGTAAAGGCCCGCAAAATGTTTCTCTCGAACACTCCAAGAGCCGCCTCATGGGATGTTGTCATTGTCCATGCTTCTGCGCCATATACGAGCACGGGCATGATGAGTGACTTATAGCGCGTGGTTTTCGAACGTCGAGAGAGGACATTACTCCTGAATTGCCTACTCAGTCCAAAGTAGCACTTGTTGGCAAGAGTGATTCTGCGTTGGATTTCAATGCTGACATTATTATCGGTGTTAATGCTGGTTCCCAAGTAAACGAAATTCTCTACTTTCTCGAAATTGTAACTGTCAACAGTGACGTGGGTGCCAAGGCGCGAATGTGCTGACTGTTTGTTTGATGACAGGAGATACTTCGTCTTGTCCTCGTTTACCACCAGACCCATGCGCTTTGCTTCCCTATCCAACTTGGAAAAGGCAGAACAGACTTCGCGGTTTTTGTTACCGATGATGTCGATGTCATCGGCATAAGCCAGCAATTGCACGCTCTTGTAGTAAATTAGCGGTTAAGTTCTGCAGCTCTTATTATCAGATTAAAGAAGTCACATGAAAGGGAGTCGCCCTGTCTGAAACCCGGTTTGGTGGCGAACGGCTCGGAGAGGTCTTTCGCCATTCTGACGGAGCTGGTAGTATTGCTCAACGTCATTTTACACAGCCGTGGATGCCAAATTCAGACATACCGGCGTATAGGCAACTTCTTTTAGTGCTGTCAAAAGCGGCTTTAAGGTCGACAAATAGGTGGTGACTGTCGATCCTTTTCTCGCGGGTCTTTTCCAAGATTTGGCGTATTGTGAATAACTGGTCAATGGTGGATTTGCCAGGTCTAAGGCCACACTGATAAGGCCCAATCAGTTCATTGACGATGGGCTTCAGTCTTTCACACAATACGCTCGATAAGACCTTGTAGCCTATGCCTAGAAGGCTGATCCCGCGGTAGTTGGCGCGAATTGGCGGGGTCACCTTTCTTGTGGATTGGGCAGAGCACACTTAAATTCCAGTCGTCAGGCATGCGTTCATCTGACCATATTCTGACCAAGAGTTGATGCATGCACCTTATCAACCCTTCGCCACCGTACTTGAATAGCTCAACTGGCAGGCTGTCAGCTCCAACAGCTTTGTTGTTTTTCAGCCGCGTTATTGCTATACGTACCTTGTCATAGTCAGGCGGTGGAAAGTCGACTCCATCATCATCGACTGCGGGCTCGCGTTCTTCTTCTCCACAACTTTCCCTGCTGCTACCATTCAGTAGGGCAGAAAACTGTTCCCTCTATAATTTAAGTACGCTCTGAACATCGGTTACTAGGTCGCCATTGTTGTTCTTACAGAGGTACGCCCTGGTCTTGAAACCTTCCGCAAGTCGCCTAACTCTCTGGTAAAATTTTCGGGCATTCTTCCTGTCGGCCAGCATTTCAAGCTCTTCACACTCACGTATTTCGGCCTCTCTCTTCTTATTGCGGCAAATACGTCTCGCTTCCCTCTTCAGATCCCACATAGCTCGCGTTGCGCCCGATCGTAGCGTGGCCCTGTAGGCGGCATCCTTTTTCTCTGCAGCTCCCTGACACTCCTCATCGTACCAGTTGTTCTTTCAGGCTCCCTGAAATCCGACTACTTCTTCGGCGGCGGTACTTAATGAGAGGTAAATGTGACTGTTGTCTAGTTCGGACGTGCTTTTTCTTTTGCCTGTGCACAAACATAATAAGTTTTAGTTTTCCTTAAGCAAAATGTCTCTATGTTCTAATTGTATGGCCCAGTGTGGACTTAAGGACAAAATCTTAAATGCGATTTCGGACTTGGACAAACTTAAAAGCATTTTTGTGTCTTTAATCGAGCCAGCAAGTGAAAACTCTATTACTATTTCTATTATTGAAGTTGTGGTTCACTTAAAATGGCTACATCTTTCTTCGTTTGTATCTGCTGTGAAAACTCAAAGTATCATTGAGTATGTAGCAAAGTACGCTGGTATCGATCAAGATAAGATTTCTTGCTTTTTGCTTGTGAAGAAAGGTTCCGATTTGAGAGCTCTCATGCGCGTAAGTTTTAAGCTTGGTGTTCTGGAATGCAATTACGACAAATTGCTTTCGTCGGATATTTGGCCAGCTAATGTCGCGATCTGGCATTTTGATTTTTTCAAAAGGATCCTCAATTTCCGCAAAAGAAATAAATACGCAATCTATCCCAAATAGCCGTAAAATTAAAGTCTACTATCAAAATACGTCTGGACTCAGAACCAAATCTGAATCCGTCCGCATTTTAAGCTCGCAATTGGAATACGACTGCTTTGCATTAATTTAATTCCAACTTTTTTGATGCAGAATTCTTTGATCCTTTGACTTACGATGTTTTTCTAAACAATATTCCACAATTACGCTCTAAAACTTTTAAGCTCCCTTGGTTCTCTAAAGAGCTCAAACGTCTAAGGAATTGGAACAACAAGCTTTACAAAAAGTTCAAACGCCCAAACGACGCTAATCTGCGCGAACGTTGTGTGTTTTATAGAGCTAAATTTAACAAGCTGAATAAATCTTCATATAGAAATT